AACGCAAGTAGTGCGTGTGAGCTGGAAACAACAATTTAAAAAGTAAGTGTTGAAAAGCAGCAGAAGTGTATTGGGACAGATAACTCACTTTTTGTGACTGCAGGCAAGATATAGGGCATACGTCCGAGTTCTGCTGTGGTATGTCTGAGTAATGATTAACTCTGGTACTCGAGTTCCTAAGATATCAGCCAACCAGGCGATTTTGGCCACATTCTCGTCTTCACCGAAGATGACAACCACATCGCAGTTGGAGGGTGGTTTCGAAGGTAAACTGCGCCAAGTCTGAGTGCGCGCCAGCAGTTCGCGGCCAGTGTGGGCAAACTGTTGCAGATTTGAAAATCGTTCTGAAGCGAAAGTTAAAAAATCAACGACATCCATCTAGCCCTAGATTACAAACACTGCTGACAAGGGAACTAAACGAAACATTTCAGGTGTCGCCATATGGGCTCGGAGATCGGAACGGGACAGGCAACTGTTGCAGGCACCTATGCGCTCGTTGGATTGGTTGACGTGCCGTACGGTCGGACGGCTGTCATAAACTGCAAAGTGGTTGGTCATTGGTTACTGCGCGCACGCCCGTGTGTGCATGCTGCACAAAGTGCAAGTGTAGCTAGAAAAAACTCGTCTCTCAGTGTGATTTTTGTTATTGTTTGCTCTAATAAAATGCTCATTGGGAAATGTTAGCGAAAAAATCTCAAAGATGTTTTCGGTTCCAAACGATTACTCAAGTAGAGTTGCAGGATTAATTATCATGCAGCGTTTTTCAGGATATTTTAGTCACATCAAAATACCGGCTTCTGAACCAGCATCATTGACACCTCAAAAAAACGACGTCATAATTAGTGTGTTTTTTTCTTTGATTTGCAATGCCTTTATAAATTCAAAAATATTTCATTGAAAATATGCACTAAGGTATTCTTTAGGCAAGTTGGTTTATAGAAAATTATGCATTTGCCAATTTTATGCTTGAAGAAGGGGTTTCTTCCGATTTTTAAATTTTTTTTGTTTAAATTTTAAAAATATTTTAAACCCGACTACACATTGCACTACGTCATTAGGAAGAGATCAGGTAGCGCTTATAAAATCTTGCAATAGACGTGGGCTATGCTATATACTTTAAAGGCAGTATTAATAAGTAGGATGGAAAGACGTACTGTGGGTAGACAGTTTACTGTCTTACAGCATATCATAACTAGGTCCTCTTTAACAAAATAGAAATGTCCGTTCTATAAGTATATGATTATAAAAAGAGATATCTCTTTGTACCAAGGAAGAACAAGAAAAAAATATCCTGTTTATGGTTCCTACAAAGTCAATTATAAACTGCGTAAGATGTAAAAAGTGTTTTTACATAGCGTAGTTATTGCAGGCGGCAAGCGTATGCGTGTTTAGGGGCAGGCGTGGAATATCTAGAGATTGTGTTGCATATGTAACACCATCTATATAATTATATAATATCTAATGATAGAACACTACTTGAGTAATCGTTAAGAATTAAAAACACATCCCAGAATTTTGACCAGCATTTCGCGATGTAGAAAACTTTTTCAAATTTCAGGATCTATGAATTACTATGTATCTGTATATCAAAACTGTCTATCATCGGACTTCTTGCGTACTGACTTTGGCAGACCAAC